TGGATTGAGGAATATTTCATATAAATAATGAGATATCTTGGGGATGGAACCCAAGTCTAAACACGAAATTCACTTATGTTTCATAGCCTGAATGTAATTTTATATAATACTTTTAATACTTTGGTGCATGAAACAAAGTTTTGATTGTATTTTGACTGTCAGGTGTGACCCCTCACTGTGGTGTCATGTTGGTGCACAAAAACTTTTGGATTTTGGAGCATTAGAGATTTCCCTATCGGGGATGCTCAACCTGTACACATTACTATCAGCACAGTTTGCCTACAATATGGCTAGGGCTGAAGTTGGTCAACAGTCACTTCTGAAATCCAGGATCTTAAAAAGGTTATTTCCCCTGTCACCACCAGCCCTTTACATTTCTTTCAGAATTTCAGGAAATCAATGCTTCCACAACTGTTGGTAATTATAATGCCTTCCTATGAGAAGTACAATGTATTTGTGTTTATTTTTCTCCTCTAGACTTAGCAGAAACGAATGTGTTCCCTGCTAAAATGGATCATCTCACTTCTTAAGGGACGCTTAAGTAAGTTTGGAAATAGGAAACAAAGAAACTTTCTGGTTTTTTCCCATTTGCATCTGTTCCTGGGCATCCCTAAAGCTCTCTTGTGATTCTAACCTCTTAAATCCTGCTGTGTGCGAGCACTGCCCATACTCTGTCTTGGCATTCGAAGAGAAGTTCTCAAAGGTGTATGTCTCTGCTCATCCAGGTAAGCAAGGTCCTCCAAGTGGGCAGAGCTGGTAGCTGACAAGAAAGAAAAGTTTAGTTAGAAAGAATATCTTAGTTTAGAAAACTTGAGAGAGTCTGTATCTCTCAAACTTTGGAAACTTACTCCAGCACGAAATGCATATGTATAATATATAATGTATGTAATATATTTTATGTCTTTAAAAAACCAAATAAATGGCTTTTTAAAAAATATTAAGCCTTCTCCTCTGTGGAAAGCAATATGGGGATACCTTAAAGAGATACAAGTAGAAGTACCATTCGATCCAGCAATCCCATTACTGGGCATCCACCCAAAAGAACAAATGATACTCTACAAGAAAGACACCTGCACCCAAATGTTTATAGCAGCACAATTCACAATTGCAAAGATGTGGAAACAACCCAAGTGTCCATCAATACATGAGTGGATTAATAAAATGTGGTA